AAGAAAACTCGCAGAGATTAGTTCTCGTTCATACAGCACCAGGACAATGCTGAAAGTATTCGAGCATACAACCCACAGACCGGTTTCGAGGTATTACCTCTCGTCAGTGCAGGAAAGATAAGACCCAAACAGCAAAGACTGGGACTCGATTAATTTCAACCCGGCTCGACTGTATGTACGAAACTTTCGTCTAAGAAGAAGATTCTTATCTAGTAATAGCTCCATCTCGTGAATAAAGCCTCAAGCGGAAAAGAAACATACCATGTATCAGTACTCTAACAGAGATCAAACCCTGTCTGAAGACTGTACTTATGATGCACTGTTTGGAACGTTTCGTGTAGTAATGAATATTACTGGAGTTATTTCCCCAACACAAATCGTTATTTTTAGGACCTCAACACATGTTTCGATCACCAAGTGATCATCTTCAAGAGGAAGATTAAACTGGTTTAATCTCCCTCTTATTGGGGAAAAACTCCAGTAATATTCTGAAGACTGTATTGAGGGAAGGTACATACGTACTACAGATATGAATATTTTCAGATTTTATTTCAAAATATGTATTTCCTACTACGTCTTCGTACAGTCTTTGATACAGTTTTCAGATACGATTTTCTTATTCATCAAACTATAGTAATCAGTATGGTGTATGTTGATGTCAACACAAATATTCGTATGTTAGACTTGAAATAGTTTTGAATATCGGAAATATCATTGTGAGTTACTCGAGTTACTGACTCAATGTTTCATGATATCTAATGCTACATTGTGCATTATTAACTCCATCATTGATTGATTCACATTTATGATTCGCTATAGTTGATTATACTTTTTATCATTAAGTTTGTTTTGACGATTATATCGTAATAATGAAGATGATTTATCAAACTTATTTCTGACATGTGTAGGAGTTATCAAACATTGAATACTCTCCTCGTTTTCGACAGATGTTCGTTCTCATATACTTTGTGGATACAATTTTGGATATGAAAGAGTATTTTCGGTGGAATTTTCATAGTAAGAAAAAGTTTTGAAAAAAGTGGGTCAGAAAAATGTTTACTGTTGAAAGCTTGATTGTAAATGAACTGGGAACGAATCAACATTGTCAAATACAAAGAGGGTCAGTTTGAATACTTTCCACCCCAAATATCTTCTTTCTAGAAACGTAGACTATTCTCATTTTCTTGTTTTTAATGGTACCCTAAGAAAATATATCACAGGAAACAAATAGGAAACAATGTCGCTATTAACAATGGAACCTCCAGCATGGCCCTTTCCAAATTAGGAGTACCTCAAGGGTCGATATTGGGACCCATATAATTTGTATTGTAGATAAATGATTTGAAGTATGCAGCGCCCAGTACATTCATAATAATGTATGCAGATGACACGTCGATTATAATCTCTGACAAATCGGATTCAGTTTTGAAAAAAAATGTAACCAAGTATTTTAAAGTATAAAGTTTCAAAGAGATTTCATCATCGACAACGGGAATGTGTTATCAGTTACAGAACAAATGATAATTCCGACACTTCAATAATCGAATGTACGAGCTTGAAATTTTTAGGTTTTCACATTAATGAACATTTGTAACTCTAACATATTTTGGTAGAAGAACAGAGACAATTGCGGGTTCCCTCAGAAAAAAATAATGTGGAAGAATATCATGGAAGTAGGAGTATTTCTACTGTATTAATAATAAGAAATGGTGAAAATTCAATACCAATGTATTATTTTGTATTTTTTTAAAATATTGCTTTATAGCTCAAATACGACACTTAAAACGCTTCAAAAAATAACTTTTTACTCGTAATCTTCGGAATGCGCTGGCGGTTTCTTGAGATGTATGTTGATTTTTTTTAGTTTCAGTATTTGTTTGGGAGTTCGCTCTGGCTGAATTGAAATATTTGGATTCTTTCTTTTTTTGTATGTGTTATCACCACTTTATAGTTTTTCCGGTCTCTTTCACTTTGATTTGCTTTATGACTGAATTGTACCTGTATTCTGGACTAGGATTGTTCAGCTTTTTGGAGTATCTCCGTACAGCAACATGAGTTACTCTCATTCAATACGCAGAAATACATTATTATTATGGTACTGCCAGGGGAAATGATTGTTGAGCGGTGAGGCTTTATCGATAGCTTGACACGTTCATAGACTTTGATATCGCGAAAACGTACCCAAAGTGGCTTCAGATGAAAGAGGTATATTTGTGGATAAAGTCCACAGATATACCCTCATACAAGTTCGAAGGCTATAGCGAGAAGAACGAAAATACCACGTAAATCACGTGCTGTCAAAGCTATGTTGAATTAGAATCATCAACTATCTATTTCTTTCTGAAATTTATCGATGTGGCCATCTCTCCTACATGGCCATTACTCAAACCCGCGTGGTGTATTTTATTCACCATCATATTATATTTCATTCAACATGAGGAAATAGTATCTATTCACTAGTATTCTCATTATTTTCTTCAGTAATGCATTGCGGACAAGTGACAGTCCTAATTGCATGTTCTTCACACACCATTATTTTACATTTATGGCATGGAATTGTTGTTACCCTGTTCTTTTTTCTTCCACAGTAGGAACATCTTCCTTTCATTTTCGCTGGTGGTTCTTCTTCATTCTCTTGATCTTCAGATTTATATTTAGCTAGAAATATTTGTATATCTGTCGGTAATGTCTTTGATTCAGATCGTTCTCTCAAATTTGTTTTCATGAGAGATAATGATAAAGACTTCAGAAAATTTCTTCTGTGTTTGTGAGCTTTGTTGACATGTATGAAATTATACAAAATTTGACTGTTTATTCCTGCTGTTTATTCAAAAACTGAAAAAATATCGCTAAAGGCCATCTTCTAGTTCGTCTGGATACGGAGAATGTGCCACACATTTTATCCACAGTATCGACACTTCCTCAATATCTGTGAGACGATTTGGGTCTCTAACTGGTACACCGTCCCTAAAAACGTAATGTTTTTATCGAAATAACCACACTTGCTTTTAATCAACATGAAAAATCGCGTAAAAAAAGTTGGTTGAGAATTTGTGAAACTAAAAATCAACCTACATAATTAGTCGCGTGGTGTATTTTAATCACAATTTCACATTTACTTTGAAAATAAGTTTTTTTCCTTGGGGCTGTCAAAACTAGACTGTCATAAGTTAGGATACACAACCTTATTATAGGTTACATGGCAACCAACACCTATTACCGACATCTATGATTGAATGACAGAAGTTTGAGTAAAATTGATGTATTTTTTACACCGGCGCGAGTACTCAAAGGCTAGACTTACCCTATATTGAAATTCCTTCCTGTTTGTTAACCAGTTCATTTCCGAATATGAATGTGGTTTTGATAAGTCAAACAGTAGAAATGGGGTGTGTTTGCGCTCTGCTCTAACACGTGCTGTCAAAGCTATGTTAAATGTAATATATATAATAACCACTGCGTCGTGGGAAAACGCTTCTTTGGCCATATTAGTGTATGTCTAATTGGCAATTACTCTATTTATGAGCACCTCCTTCGGTGTCTGTTCACTCTTTGATCAGGAATCTCTAATTTATCTCAACTTCGAAAATGTAGCTTTCCGATGGGGGATCAATTCAGAAGATACTTCTTTCAGATTCATTAAAATTCATATAAAAAATTATTATCTCCAGTTCGATGTAATATTTATAGTGAATATAACTTTATGAAAAATTTATGCAAGTTGCCACACTCTCAAAATATCTGAATGAATTTTTGGAAAAAAAAAGGCGGAATACGTTCGCAAATGAGATACTTAATGGCCATATGGTGAATATATCTTATTCAATCCATTACATATCATCCACCCTACAAGTTTTTATCCTTGTTTTTAGAACACTGTTCTAGTACTTCCTTGATTGGAAAGTATTTTCGTTGTTCACGTGACCTTATTTTCGTTTTGCTCGTTTTGGTATGTTATCTAAAAAAGAGAATGTACATTGCCGAACCATTTTTTTTATTTGAAATTATTTTATTAAATGTTCTGAGCGTTACCCGTTGACACTCGTCATTGTATCTTGTTTACAAATCTTCAATATTTCTATCCTCATGTTCTTATGAATAATTCTTTGCCCAGAGAATAGTCCAGTCTCAAATTGACCAACGAGAGCAGCATAAGGTTAAGGTACTCCATCCTCTAGAAGTATAATTTTTTTTGGGAAGTTTGCAGATATGCAAAAAAGTGTTCTATTTTCAACACCCATTGGAGTGTACGAACGAAAAAAAAAACATATTCTTTCCACTTCGTGATGTTGATGAAAAATGTGAAAATTCATTACCTCTATCCATACATTTTTTTTGGTAAATCCTCAAAAAATCAGATTTTTTGGAAATTTCGAAAACTGCCATAGAAAAAAGTTGCCTAGTTTCCAATTTTATATCTTTACTCGGAATTTCGACTCTGTACTGTCACGATTGTTTTTCAATTTTTATAATTTTTCGAATCTTCCGCTCTATCGATTCGAATGAATGAATGAAATTTCATAATTTTCATGAATACGAGACTACAATGTTATATCTTGCCCAGAAAACGCACACATTGGTCTGTTACCAGAAAAAGAAAAAAATACACCTCCAGAAAATCTTCTTTGATGTTGGAAAGTGCATCTAGGTTTTTTCATTTCATTGTTGAACTGATTCGGATTTTCACTGTACGGACGTTAATATGTCAATAATCGAATAACGTATTTCTCTTCTTTCTTATCACACTTGTAGTATCTTTTTCAATTGATTTTTATCCAGTTTGATTACTTTCCTATGTCGCGAACTTTATGTGTGACACCTTGTGTCTAACCAAGGAGTTTTTTTCTATGATAGAACACAAGCATTATAGGAAAATCCTTGAGGCGAAAGTAGCCATCCACGTTGGATATGATTAGCTGGAGATTAAATTCATTTGGAAAAAGGTTCTCAGGAAGTTTATTTCACATACACGCAGCTCTCTCAATGAAAGAGTTTTGAAACAGTATAGTTCGAGGTGTACTGAGTTGAACATCAAAACAATGAGTAGCCATAGTCCGTCTCGTATTTCTGATATGTACCGCTCTTGGTGGTCAAATGTGCCAAGTCCTTGAACATTTCCCGTGGAGGTATCGAATAAAGAGAGACAAATTTCAATCCTTTCGTCGATGTTCCAGACTATCAAGGTTGCAAGTGATGTCCGAGTCTCCAATCAGGCGGATAGCTCTTTTCTGGCTGGAATCTAGCAGCTTCAGGGCATGCTTAGGGGCGGATCTTCATAGTTGAGAACAATACTCCAAAGAAGCCTAATCTGACCTCTATAAAACATTACAAGTTGCTGAGGTGTGTACAGTTTTCTGGTTCAGAACAGTGTTACCAGTCTATGCTAATACTTTGTTTATTAAATAGTCTTTTTGTCTTGTCTGATGTTTTTAAAGATGAAATGCTTCTCAGAAATTATACAAACATACTAATTCATTTAGATATCCTTTCACTATTGTCAGTATGTCTTGACTAAAATTATTTTGAATTTTATGGTACCATTTATGAGGTCTTTCAACAGAGGCTTCCAAACTTTGACAATTGATAACGGCCATCTTGTTGAAGCTACACCTGTCAAATGTGTTGTCATTTATTCTGTCTGTTTTGTCAAATCACCATGGATGGATATAGCATTCAACAATACGTGCAAATAATATAATTGTTTTATCAAAATAGAAGTTCTGTTCGGGCAACGTACCTCGCGCGATACCGTTATTTGCGTATCGGCCGTGTGTCGCTCAAGACTTTTCGTAATTCCACTAAAATATTACATTTTGATTCTGAGGAAAGAACAAACCACGTACCTCGTAATTCTACAGAAAAATCCCAACATCGTGTTGTCATGTAACAGCTCAACAGTATCACAACAATATTCTAAACAACGTCAGTTTTTTGTGTTCGCGAGTTCGCTTCAACAACGACCACAGATTAAATTGAAGAAATTGAGAAGTAAAATCAAATATTGAGAGAATCATGTGCAGCGAGTGTTGATTTAGTGCCGAAAATAACTCAAGAGCGATATCAAAAAGAATATGAAAATTTTGAAACAGCCGCCGGCCGTTAAAAAATCTAAACAGGCGGAGGCTGTTAACATTAACTTTTCAATTATCATCTGGATACCGTCAATTAAAAATAACGAAAAAGTACATAACAGAACAAAGTTTTGTCATGGATTGGCCGATAATTGATGAAAATCCATGACTCATTCAAGTAACGCTTTATTGTACACAGAAAAACGTGTTGCGATTCTGTAAACTGTTCAATCAAAATTACACAACAAAGTGTTATTTGAAAAAAACTATCATTGGTGATGAAATTTTGCAATAAAAGAATGAAAAAATATTTATATTGATCTTGATCATCACATAATAAAATGAGTAAGAGTAATTGTTTATGTTGAACGGTTTTAATGAAAAAAAAATAATAGTAATGATGTGGAGGTCATAGATATCAGTTATCACACCACTCTCCTTAGCAATCTACGGTATTGATCAGATAAAAAAAATAAAATCGTTGGGTGTAGGGAAACCTGATTAAATATGTAAATACTTCGACCAACGATTTTAATATTTTTTTTATCTGTTCAATACTGTAGAATATTGAGGGGAGTGGTGTGATGACTGCTACCTAGGACTTTCCGAATTATTTTTGAGTCTTTAGTACATTTTGCAATGAAACCGTTTAACATATATTCAATTTTTACCTATTTTATTTTTCAAGTTTTCAGTTCCCGACACGATACAAAATCTTGACCTAGGTAGAAACATCATGCTTGTACCCCGATTCTTTGTATAGATTTTATTGGATTCGTATCCTTTTCATAACGTACCACTATTCTACTGGTCAAGCCCTGTCAGTTGATAACCATATTGAGGCATTTGTGAAACAATATGTATTCCGCCATTTTGTAGCTGCGGCTATCTTGGATTCACAATAATACAGAATTTATTAAATTGTATTGTCAGCAAAACTGAATGGATGTACCAAATTTTCCAGGTCGAACTGTCAACAAGAAGGGGATCAAACCTCAATTACTAAATTTGACCCAAACAAACAAACAGGGCAAGCTAAATGAATCCGTTCAAAAAAATGATGTTTCCTCATGAAGGTTATCACACTATACTATTTTGTAACCAGGATCTAATAACATTAATAACATTTGTTCTCATACTTAATGGTTAACTTTACCTGTAATTAGTGTATCTACCATATAACACTCGGTTGATGAGCATGTAAGGCTTGTGACATTTTTTGTTTCTTGGACAAATAATGAAGGATGTTTTGGAAATGAGGGAAATGCTAAGAAATAGTCTTGGAATATTTATATCCTTACTCAATCCTATTTTATGACGTAAAGAAAATGGAGTGAAAGTTATTGGTCTTAAGATATCAAATGAATTTCCGAACATAATTAAAGACACTCAGTTTGAATAACCGAACTGAAAACATTATTGAAATCTAAAATTAAAGATGAACATTTCTCAGGACAGGACGAAATCCCACTTTTCATAATAAAGGCGTGTTCAGAAAATATTTTTGACCTCTCACTCACTTAGTGAAGTTGTTCTTTCTGAATGGTGAGTTTTCACAATATCTGAAAGTTAGAAAAATTATTCCCATCTTCAAAAAGGCATGTCCAACTGATATGAATGACTATCGTCCAATTACTGTAACATCAAGTTTCTCAAAAGTATTTGAGTACTCATTTCTCTTATATAAATGCAATATCTTCACGGAAAATCAACATGGCTTTCCAACTGGTCGTTCCACTAATACTACTTTTATCGATTTTTTTGAAAAGGTCATAGAGTTCATTGAGGCAGGCGAGTGCCTTGCTGGGATTTTTTGTGATCTCAACAAGGCATTCGACTGTGTCAATCATAATCAGTTAACATCGAAATTGTATAATTACGGATTACGAGGTGTAACATTAGAATGGATTTGTATTTTTTGAAACACCGTCATCAGTACGTATGTATTCCAAATATCAAATCTGAAAGGGTTGGTTTGTCAATTCAAAGAATGAAGCCATTAATATTAGTGTACCACAAGGATCGATCCTGGGACCTATTTCATTCATATTCTACTTTAACGATCTGGATAAATTCTTAAAAGGCATTCAAGTAA